ACAAATTGTAAAGATGTCACGTTTCTATTTAACAAATAATATAGGATTTAATATATAGTATTGAATTTCATGTAAAGCTGGAGAATGAACAATAATGGATTAAGAGAATATTATTACCACTTATAAAACAATTTGTTACGCAGAGTATACAACAAATCAATTGAATTTTAAGTATAAATTTGTAACAAAATATCAAAATTCAGTTGTTAGTACTAACAATAATGTTCCTGATTTTAATCGATTCTCTCAAATATTTAGCTAGATTAGTAAGTATAATTTTATTATTAGAAGAAATCAGTTCAATAAATTTACACATTGATGGGCATTTGTAATAATATCGTTTCACATATTTTTTTCCTTATGTCAACACAGCATAGGCATATCAAAACAAAATGATATTCGTCTTCTAAATCCATAGTTTTAGAACAATATCTTTCACTCCTTGGGATTCTATTTTGACCATATCTACCCGTTGGTACTCTTAGTGTATATGCAAACATTCTTATTATTGTTATGTAAAATCTAAGATCTTTTGGTAATATGTTACGATAGTTTTCGTATGAATATAATTATTTACAATTTTTATAAAGTTCTAAACCAGAATTATTTTCTAGAGATGAATGCCATATTTGTATATAATTATCAATAACTCTTTGTTTAAATATATAATTTTTCATACCGGTATAACATGCTGGAATATTATCATTTCGCTTAGAAATGCATTATGTATTACAAAATACGTTTGTTTACATCAAATTAACACATTATTTGATTTAATTATGATTTCCACAATTCGTAAAACATGCCAACTCTTTGTAATAAGTCAAATTGAACATTTTAAAAATATCCCTAGATTTTCGTGATTTTGGTCACAACACGCTTCCGTAGAAAAGAAAACTTTACATATCTTGTGCATATACATTTTTTTTAAATACTCAGTAAGATGTGTGGTTAATTCTGCGTCATTTTAGATAATTGTACAAAAGAAAACAATGTAGAACAGTGAGTAAAAGATAAACTCTCTTTTAATGATTACTTCATTCAAAATTGTGTTTAAAATCGCGAAATTATATGACACATTTTGTCATCTGCATAATCGATTGATTGGTGGTCAGTTATATATATCTACTGACATATTTTCCCCTAAAATTTATACAGAAGAATATAAAAATGACTAAAATTACTTACCTTTGCACTAGGAATGCTGGAATTGTAGTAACTTCAGATCTTTCAACAAAATAATAATAAACGTGACGTCATCGAACGTGCATAACATTAAAGTATGGTGTAATTTAAGAGACACATTTAAATATCGATTTTTACTAAATCTTTATGATCGATTTTTCAGGATTCTGCAAGGAGATTTTTTGAGGACTTTTTTCTCAAAATGTAGATAACGTTTATCTTTTATTTAATCGTGAAAACATTTGTGAAGGAATTAGTTTTACCATAATTTCTATTATGACTGGCCTATAGTTCTACATGCAAGTTAATTGAGATGTAAACAAAAACAAATTTCTTAAAAATTAACAAAGATGTTCAATTTAAACTTGGAATATATATTCACTGTCAAAATCTTAACCTCAGAATGATATGGCCCTGTAGGTCTTTTTCGTTCAGTTAATAGAGGATATTGAATGAGTGTAAGTTCAATACTGAATTTATTGCACGAGTTGAATAAAATTATATTATGCGAGCCTCTGGCGAGCATAATATTATTTTATTCAACGAGTGCAATAAATTCAGTAATGAACTTACACAAATTTAATATTCTATTTATCACATACCAAAAATAAACACCGTTTAAAGTGAAATAAGAGTCATTTTTCATTGACGCGTCTATAGTATAACGCTAACATTTAGCGCGTCTTTACACTATGTTTGTATAACGCTAATGACGTCACGTCAAAATATATGCACGGCCGTGCAATACCATATTTACGGAGTCGCAAAATCGGCACGGGTGTGTGATAATCTCTTTTATTATGTAAATATTGTTCCTAATTTTCTAAAAAGCTATCCAAACTTGAAAACATGAAAAGAAAGGTAATTTTGCCAAGCAGTTTTTCATAATTATGCCCCCTTTTCTGGTTTACCAGCAGTGAGAAAGTATAACGATAATTATCGACCTTTACATGAAGGCAACACAAAATGGTTGGGAAAATTTTCTCATAATTTTATATGCCCCTTTTGACTTTTGGAAAAGTATTCTTTTTTCCGAGACTTTTTTTTACAGATTTAAATAATATTATTTCAAAACTTATATTTATATGTTGATATTTATTTTATTTTTTTTATTTTATATCATTATAGTAAATTTCTTTAATCATACTATTTTCAAATAATTCTTTTAAAATGAAAGTTTTATTCAATTTACCGTATAAATTGCGTATTTTTTTTTTTATCTAGAATTTACATCAGTTATCCCGAAACAACCAATTTTCAATCACAACCTAAATTCAAACACATTCTTAATTCTGTGGCACTGATGTCATGTCTGACTAAATTGCATAAAGTCACATGTTGTATTAACTTCAAAACTTGCGGAAATGCCATACTTGATTAATTGTCAGATGTTATGAGTAAAACAATAAGAAACTGCTTGTTTTAATTGACACAATATAAATTGTCCAACTTTAACTATATCAAAATAGTCACTTGTTTAAAATAGTGGTAAAAATTTTTCCAAGCAAGTTAATTTTTTTTATAAAGTATTGGCTAAAAAGTTTAACCATTTACCTCAGTCCTAGGTGTATTTAAAACATTTATTTATATGATGTACCACTAAATATTCATCAGACTTTACATAGGGGTCCTTATTAATAAAATCTTTTATTGTTATCAAATTTTTTCATGTGATGATTGTAGAATAATTGTTTTGTAGGCGATACCAACTGGCAGATCTAGACAAGTTTCCGTATTTGCTAGTATTATAAAGTGGGGAAGGTAAAATTGCTGTAAAGATTGGATGCATTTATCATTTTGCACCCCAAATAGCGTACTAAGAAGTGACACCTTTAACTGCCTTTTTATACACATTAACAGAAGTCATACCAATGCATTGTACTTTACATATGTTATGACATTTAGTGTAAGTTTTTTAAAATCTTGAAAAAAAACTGTTGAAAATCGTTGAATAGACTGTTGTGAAATTTTCTACAATTTTAAGTGGCCCTGATTTATCTTGAACAAATTTTCCATAGTGATTACCTTGCTGTTTGAATTTAGGTTAAAATATTTCTGAGAGTGACCCGAGCACAGGCAATCGGTGCGTGGCTTGGATAGTATACATGTACATGACCACGCCCACTTACTTTTTTATAATTTTTTTTTTTTTTTCACTAATAAAATATTTTTTTATTCAAAATATTTTTAAAATATCTTATTTTCAATAAATCAACAAAGAAAATTTGTTTTTAAAAAATTTCATCCATATATACTATTAATATAGTAAAGGTAGAAAGGTTCGCCAGCGGACCTACCACCAGGCCTTATGTTACCTCCCAGATCTTTGTTAATTGTCAACCAATTTTCACAAAATAAAGTGCAATCTACGCAGAAATGATTTTTCTTTCGAAAAATGTACAATATTAGAACAGTTGGTACGACAAAAGATGGAATTTTAAAGCAAAATTGCACTTTTTGTCTAGGTCGGCCATCGCATGACCGAGCCGAAAGTAGACGATTTTGAACATAAATCGATCTTTTTCTTAATAACAAACTAATGTCAGTGCATGCAAACAGTTGAAATAGAAAAGGCAGCTATAAAACTATCGCTTACCGGTCCAAAGTTAATACAAAACGTCTGCAGGTACGCACTTTCAGTAGTTATTTGCACTAACTTTTTAAATTTCCCGACATTGTACATGTATACAAATTCTGATCCGGATATTCAAGGTACGCATGCTCGGTTCCCGCTGGTACCCAGCTTCGCTCAATTTTTATTATGCGAAAAGGGGTACGCATCAGATACATCCGGGTCAGCATTTGTATACATGTAATGTCAGGGAATTTAAAAAGTTAGTGCAAATAACTACCGAAAGTGCGTACCTTCAGACGTTTTGGATTAACTTTGGACCGGTAAGCGATAGTATTATAGCTGCCCTTTCTGTTTCAACTGTTTGCATGCACTGACAATAGTTTGTTATTAAGAAAAAGATCGATTTATGCTCAAAATCGTCTACTTTCGGCTCGGTCATGCGATGGCCGACCTAGACAAAAAGTGCATTTTTGCTTTAAAATTCCATCTTTTGTCGTACCAACTGTCCTAATATTGTACATTTTTCGAAAGAAAAATCATTTCTGCGTAGATTGCACTTTATTTGGTGAAAATTGGTTGACAATTAACAAAGATCTGGGAGGTAACATAAGGCCTGGTGGTAGGTCCGCTGGCGAACCTTTCTACCTTTACTATATTAATAGTATATATGGATGAAATTTTTTAAAAACAAATTTTCTTTGTTGATTTATTGAAAATAAGATATTTTAAAAATATTTTGAATAAAAAAATATTTTATTAGTGAAAAAATTTTTTTTTATAAAAAAGTAAGTGGCGTGGTCATGTACATGTATACTATCAAAGCCACGCACCGATTGCCTGTGGACCCGAGTGGGTCATATCGTTTTTATTGAATTTCTATGAAAGATCAAGACTTGTTGAAAATGTAACAACCTTAAAATGAATAAGTGTTGATAGATGCATTAATAGCTAAAATAAATTTAGGGTATAATTTCCCCTTCCATTTATTATTGGCTAAAAATGGCTTAACTGATTGAATATTGGTTGTTCCGGGATACCTTTAACTTAAAATTTAGACGTAAATGGAAATTAACAGAAATATTTCAGGTTTAAAATTACCTTTGAAAAATAAAATAATGGGAATTTAAATTATGCGTGTACATGTTGAAAATATTGAGATCCGTCCATCTGACCATGCAAATTACTCAGGGTTGTAAAACGCTTTTGAAAAACGATGAAACAAACTCTTGATTGATCTAGATCGTCTGCAAAGTAAACGAGGCTGGAATCACTTCCGGGTTATTATAACTTGTGATTTTGACAAATATATCGGCATACAAACGTAAACAATGTAATCTAAAAATGTAGCATAGTTCTCGATAGAGACATATTTTCAAGGTTTTATTGGCAGACAATGTCAACTTATGATTCTAGTTTAGAACCACCTTTTGACGATTCAGTTCAACTAGCAGATATGCAGGTTGATGATACTGATGATCTTCCTATCGTTACAGCACCTATACAGAATGGTGAAAGAAATGTACCTTCTGTGAATGCAGCAGATATGCCAGAGGTACAAATGATGGCTAGTAATGGAGATCAGATTTCTAAGAGAAGAGGCTATGCAATTGTGGCCATTCTTTTCTTCATAAATCTACTGAATTATATGGACAGATTTACTATTGCAGGTAATCTTTAATCTTCATATAAATCTCCTTATTGGTATTGGGTTCGACTAGTGATGGGATTTTCTTTTGCCTTCAAGTCATGTGTGATTACTGGTTATATGATTTTCAGGCGCAGTCAACTTACAATATAGTTCCCAAAATCAATTTTACCATAAAACCATACAAATAACACTTTAGATCAGTTGATAGCATTTCTTTTTAACAGTCAATAAGGAGAACAGATGCCTGGCTTCATTAAATAATGGGTGAGTGGTTAATGCGTCACACTAGTTATCTAATGATAGCTAGCCGCATGGGTTCAAACCTGTTGTTTCCTTGAGCAAGAAACTGTACAATCTTTGCTCAGTACTGGTTGGTTCCAGGATCGGATTCAGAAGTGTGTCTATAAGCTTATAGCTTCCTAGACCATCAAACTAATGTAAATTCTTTATAAACCAAATAGTGAAACATTTTTGAAGTATTAGTGGATGGAACTTGGGATTTCGAGACGTTTCAGCCCCAAGACGTATCGGCCCCAAACTACCCAAGACATTTCGGCCCCGGACGTTTCGGCCCTTTACCAAATCGGCCCCAGAATAAGTAATGTATTCTAAACCGATATATTAATAGCATTTCAATAAAAAAAAATAATCAATTAAATATACAAGAACTTAAAATTACAGGGTAAATGATAATAATTTACAACTCTAGATACTGTTTTCACTTTCAGGTGTACTTCAATCTATTCAGAAATATTATGGACTAAAGAACTCGGAAGATGGATTGTTACAAACATCTTTCATATCATTTTACATGGTGTGTTCGCCTGTATTTGGATATATGGGGGATAGATACACTCGGAAAATTATTATGGCATGTGGAATAACATTCTGGGCAGGTGTTACTTTAGCAGGAAGTTTTATTCCAGCAGATGTAAGTGTTTTGGTTTTCTTTCATGCTAATTTGAACCTGGTAAATTTGAGCTAAAGTTTATCTTTTGAAAACTTTTGGTCAGAAAAAATGCTACAGCAATTGTACTTAGATGTGATACGTTGAATTTACATTTTGTTTAATTGTGTTAATGGATATGTTCAATTACTCAACCCTTTGTCTTAGTCTACTGATTATAATGTATAGATTATAATATCTGTATGACAAGTGCAGACCAAGATCAGCCAACATATTATTCTGTCTGCATATTTTGTCATTCAGTTTGTACATGTTTTGAAATTATCCTACAAAATGATGTTTGGTTTTGTCCAGATTGAAAGATGGACAAGTCATAAGATATTAAGCCTTCTAAGGGTTAAAATAAAAGAAGAAAGTGTTCTATTTTTCAGTCATTTTGGGCTTTCATCTTACTAAGGGGACTTGTTGGTGTTGGTGAAGCTAGCTATTCAACAATTGCTCCCACCATTATTGCAGACTTGTTTAGCAAAGATTCTAGAACTAAAATGTTGATGATTTTCTATTTTGCAATACCAGTAGGAAGGTAACTTTTTATGTTTATATCATTTTCAATCCACTTTATATCTTTGTTAGCTGTGACACGAATGTGATCATCCACCATTGTAATTATTTTCATTTAAATAATTGTAAGTATATACAGAAGGGTCAGTACCTTAAAATTTGTATAGAAAGTAAAAACCATTTGTAAGGTGGACACATTTGACACATATTTAGAATATTGACTTTTTTCATGTGATATCCTACCCAGATTGCTTTAAAGATGTTTATCATTCTATCCAAGTTTAAACCACCATGCTTGAAATAGATTTACTCTGAAATTAAGACTACTGGAAAAATCAACATTTGCTGAGTTCTTGATAACATTTACTTTATATAGATGGTAACCTGTTGTCTGCCTTCACCAGAAATGCTACCAAGTCACCATACATGTGACACTGTATAATGACCTAGGAAAAAAACTTATAAAATGCTATGTTTGTATTTTTAGTGGCATGGGTTACATTGTAGGAGCAAATGTTGCTGAAGCATTTGGTCAATGGCAGTATGCTCTCAGGGTTAGTTTGATTTTCATGCCTTTTTTCAAATTTATTATTTTGCATCCTACTTTGTCATTCTTTTTAACATGAAAAGAAAAACTTGCCAAATATTTTTATAGTGTAAATTCCTTTAAAAGTGTCTAAATTATTTAAAATTGATATAAATTTGGCCAACTTAATTACTTTCAATTTCTGATATATATTTGATGTGTACTGTAGTTATTTGACAAAGTTTATTATAGCTGCTGGTCATAATAATGTTTATGAGAATCTGAAAGTAGGGAAATAATTTGAAGTTTTCATGAGGTTATGATTGATATATTTTTACTACCTTAATAGTAGTTTATAGATATTTATTATATACTTATGAATAAAATATTCATGAAATAAAACACGTGTTTTCATTTTCCGTATTTTCACTGTAAATATTTATTTTCCACTGCAGTGAAACACATTTTTCATATTTTCACTGGTGTCTTGCCAGACTACCTTCTTCAAATTTCTGCCAGTACACAAAATTTAAGGGAATGTCTATCAAATTGTAATGTAAAAAAAAAGAAGCGAAAAACGTATATAGTCAACAAAAAAATTCTTTTTTTCCCCCTATAAATACAGGATTTATTGCCATCTTGTGGTATAAAAGTTATCATATTTATTTTCATACCACTCAATAAAAAAAAACTGTTAAATCTTGATAGAAAAAACTTGAATATCCTCTATATAGAAGTTTTTAGGACATTTTTTGTGCTCATTTATGTTTGTGTCATCACTGGAAGCATAAACTTTTACCTTGCTGATACCAAAAGTGATTAGCCATTGCTATCAGCAAGTCAGGCCAGTCTGCACATCCAGGCTCTATACTGTTGATAGCTCAATTTCTACAGCTTTATGGTAAAATCCCTGAATTTTCAAATGGATTGTTCCAAATTCAAATCTGGGCAAATCCATTGCACATTCAGGTGGGTAATTGGGTATTATTATTTCAGGTTACACCGTTTCTAGGTGTATGTTGTGTTGTATTGATATTGTTTATTGTGAAAGAGCCTGTGCGAGGAGCGGCTGACGGTGGGGAGCATCTCCATAATACATCTTTCTTCACAGATCTGAAAGAACTTGTTAAAAAGTATGTATTTTACATTGATAAATTGATCAGTTGATATAAAGATCAGATAACGCTGAAAATATTTGAAAAAAACAAAACTGTTGTAACATCAAATTTGAAAGCGTCATGCCTCCAGAAGAGCCAAAATATTTCAAGAAAAACAAACTTGAGAAAAATGTACAAATATTTTAAGAAAATAAAAAAAAATGAAAATCCAGGTAATAATTTACATGTTATGTGCGATTAATGACTGATTTTGCAGAAGTTATCTAATACACCATATTTCTACTGCATTACTAATGCAATAAGGGCTATTCTCGCATATTTTGACCTCTGTTTAATAATTTACTTGGATTGTTAGTGCCATTTGCAATGTCTAAATTACTTACTTTGTTAACTTCACAATATTTTTATCTTTTTGATACATTATAAAATTTTCATGAAAATTAGCATGAATCTTGAGGCATGCTGATTTAAAAGGAAAATAAGTTATAATCCCATTAAATCTGCTTGCACCTCAAGAATGTTTCATTATTTTCTATGTCACTTATCTTTATATGTTATTTCATTCATTCATTAGTTTGAAAGTGGTTTATTACAATTTCCTTGTCTAGAATGCAATCTCAGGGACATTAATGTTTACTTTATTAATGATGCGTTTACTTCCTCAAATATACAACCTAGATTACTAATTAAAATACACTAGAAGAATCATCCCTCTTAAATAGAATTTCTTTGACAATAGCTTTCCATGACCATTGTATGCCTGACTTTATGTAACTAAAAATAGCAATACATGTATCATTATATATGAATCATTCAGTTTAAAGATTTAAAATGATTACATATGAGTCGTAAAGCAATAGGATTAAAATCTGCTCCTGAAAAACAAAATGTAATAGGGCATAAGATCTGAACTTAAGTCAGATAGTGGCATAAATTGTTTTATAAAACAATGTAAATGACTTTTCTTTGTAACTTAAATATTAATTACCTTGACAAATATAAAATATTTTGTTTATCAAAGGAACTCATTGTTTTGGCCCGCACATTGTCAGCAGGGCTTTTTTTTCATTTTTGGGAAATTCAAGTGCAATATATTGTCTTGTGGGTAAAAAGTGGAGTGACTTTTATTCAACAAGTAATATGCATGTTTTAGAAACTAAATTTATCTCTGTGTACTACAGTGTCACATGTATCTCAAAGGATGCAGCCAATGCTTAAAGGCCTTTGGTAGGTCAGTAAACTTCCAATTAATTTTGTAGGCATTGTGTATGCATTGGATCTACATTAGAACATCAATTTGTTAAGCTGACATCGCAATTTAAAAATATAGTCTACACAAGTCATTCTTTATTTAGGAAAATTGCAGATATAATTGAGAAAAAGTGAAGTTTTTTCATTTGGGGAGCCACCCATTATCAAAATCAAGTGTATACAAAAAAAGCCCTATGTCAGAGCATTCTTTTAATTATTTATTTATTAAGTTTTATTTTGATTTATTGTTTATTCCTGTACTTACAGTAAAAGCTTTATGCTTTCATCATTTGGGTTCACATGTGTAGCATTTACAACAGGGGCTCTTGCTCTTTGGGCACCTATCTTTATGCAGGACTCTATAACTATACAAGGGCAACTGACATCTGAATCAAGGTATGTTTTATATAATACAGTTAATACTTTATCATTGATGAATATTTATTATATATAAATATAGAACACAAGCTTGTCACTTTTATAGCTGACCTAAGCATAAAGAGCAAGGAACTGCAATATACTTCCCAATGGATATGCTTGGTATGTTTGTGAGCACTGTTTGGGCATGATTTCAGGCCAAAATGTTATGATGCCATATGACACATTCTGACGTCACATAAGGCTTTATAGTAAATAAATCATTTGAGGCATAATAGTAAGAAATAAGGATATGCAAATAATGCATGTTAAGTTCAACATGCAAAGAGGTATTATAATATTCTTTGCATAATGTTTTTTTATAGGATTGGAGGAGTTTGCTGGTATTGGTCATTATGAAATATGATAAAATTAACTGTAATTCTTGTTACATTTAAATTTCAGTGTTGCATTGACATTTGGTATAATCACAGTCATAGCTGGTTTTCTGGGTGTTGGACTTGGGGCGGAGTCATCACGGAGATACAAGAAGATAAACCCGCGAGCTGATCCTCTAATTTGTGCCCTGGGACTACTTGTTTGTACTCCATTCCTGTATTTTGCCCTAGTTTTGTCAAGATACAATACTATAGCTACATGGGTAAGCTCAAACTTTTCACATCGTTCAGAATTTTTAATCATTTATCTGCTGAATTATGCACTTTCAATTTTTGGAATATCAAGATGAAAATTTATAGTTGGTCAGCCAACAGCATAAAGCTTGGTCAAATGGCATGGGCATATGTGTTGGCCTGGCTCTATACTGGTGGCAAAGGCTTATCACTTATGGTTTCCAGCACGGTCCGGATTAAGTTATGCAGTAAAAATGTTTATTTTTGAATAACTTTGATGATTCAGTATGTTTAACTCCATTTCTTGAAATAGTATGAAAGTGTTGATTTCCATTATATAATTTTACCATATATATTGACAACTTTATTTATTAATAGCATATTCATATTATCACACTGTGAATGCAACTATGGTTTATTCACTTATCATGAGTGTGAGATTTGTTACAACTTTCTATTTTCAGATCTTAATATTTTTGGGAGAAACTGCCTTATGTTTAAATTGGGCTATTATAGCTGATATTTTATTGGTAAGTTGCATTTATATTAAAATATCCTGAAATGTGTTTCTTTAGGGGGTTATGGGAATATAGATTTGCCCTTGTCTATCTGTCACCCTGGGCTATTTAAACTAAACAGGGGGCTATTTACAGGGGCTATCTAAGTGTAAACAAAACAAAAGAATGTTTCAATAAGCTTATAGCTTCCAACACAATAGAACTTAAATAATGATTTGCTTAAAATGATACGGTATGCAATGACTTTGTATTTTACAAACTGCTTATTTATGATTTGTGTTATTTACAAATATGTTGTTGTTGTTTTTTTAAATAAAGTTTATAACAGTTGGGTTTTGGAAGCAGAAATGCAGAAATCTTCATATTACTTGAAAAGGGTAGCATTAATTCTTATATTTTATAAATACAGTATACAGTCATACCTACTAGAAGGTCTGCAGCAGAATCTGTACAGATACTCATGTCTCATTTACTGGGTGATGCTGGAAGTCCGTACCTTATTGGTGTTGTAAGTATGTGTGGTCAGCTTGCTTAGCTTAATAGGGAGAGCATTGGATTTGTAAAACGTGCCGCTGGTTTGATTCTGGGGGAAGTGAACATTTTCGTTGACAATCTAGAACATTGAGTCTAATGGTCATTTGTCTCACCAGTTTTTCAGAAATCATACAATAGGTGATTCATAGTGTGTGAAATTAGTAAAATTTGAGTTCTATAAAAGCTGGTTAGTTGGAACATGTTAAAGTTAGTCTACAAACAAAATGTTACAATTTCTTGTCAAGAATCGTAGCCTTAGCATGTTTCCTTAAAGGTGTAACAATGTTACATGTGTATAAAAACCAGCTTTAACCATTTTAATGCCCCCACTTAAGGCGAGAAATTAACCTTGTCCCTCTCACTGTCATGCCGTCTATGTGGTATGTTTGGGAGTCTCTGTCCTATGTTCTTAAGAAGAAGTATCTAAGATATTCCTTGAACAGTAAATACCAAAATATGCCTTTTAATCTCTACAATGTTGATATGATTTAAAACCCAATGTTAAAAAAGAAAATTATTAGATGTCTCAAATGAATCTATGTTTAAATAAAAACTTAAATAAAGTAACTACTGAAATAATTCATGTTTCAATATTGTACAATAAAAAATTGGGACAAAGACCAAAATGTTTGTTTTAATTTCAGGTAGCTGATGCATTTTCAGCAAAATATGAAGGAAATCCCAGTAGTCCTGCTATACAGTATGTAGCGTTACAACAGTCACTATATATAACAACATTTGTATGTGTTCTTGGCGGAGGCTTCTTCCTGGCTACAGCCTTGTTTATAGTCCAGGATAAAAAGGCAGCAGAAAGACAAGTTAGGGGTGAGAATTGTTACTATTACAGTTAATTATATTTCGTTGTATTTATGAATATTAAAACAAAAGCAGGTACTTGTGTGCATCACTAAGCAAAATTACTGGTATGTTCAAATTATACTGTATAAGTGGTGAAGTTAGCAATGCTGAAATATTGGTGAATTTTGTAAATCGACGAAAATTGCTATAATTTCCTCTAGCATAAATATCAAACAACATGTCATTAAATTTTACCCTGGCAATTTTCGCTAATATTTCCAAAAGCGAAATGTATGAATTTTTAAATTTGCTTACTTTTCAACATACAGAAATACTTATACAGTAGTTAGAGAAGCAAGTTTCATCAGGTATATTATATATTGTATTTATTATTATGATTTTTGACTGATTATATGGCCTATTACAAATAATTTTAAGCATATTATAACTTAGTTACTAGGTGAAGGTCATATAACCATATATATGACCAAATAACCTGTTAAAGTGTTCTCATTGAAATGATGATGCTACTTCTTGGAATTTGGTGGTTAAAATTAATTTGCAGCAACCGTGTTATAGAACTTATAAGCATCACATTTGACCAATGAAAATCAATGTTATAAAGGGGCAGTATTACTATCTTTTATTTATTCTTTAACACAAAGAATTTAAGATATTTCTCTCTTCAATGTTTGTGACCCTTGAATTACTAGAAACAGAAATAATTTGCCTATGCTACCAGTATAGGGCTAAATAAGCTTGCATATCCATGCAATCTGACCAGTTTCTATACTCTTGTGTGCTCAATTTAGGCAATTTTCTTTGTTTGAAAACCTTATGGACAATTCCAGGTTCAACTGAGACAACATGGGACAGGTCTATTTTGTTAATTTAGCAAATAAATCCTCACCCTGCTGGCAGCAGAAGATTTTACCCATGTGACCAGTGCAACCATGAACAGTGGGCACATATCTGCCGTCTTTTGATCATGGTTTGCACTGTACTCAGTCTGTATATATTTTGTAATTTTCCGTAAAATGATGAATGGTTTTGACTTAATTTAAAGATACATAACAGGGTCCTCATTATTAACAGTTTGGGGATACATATCATCGGATGAAATATTGTTAAAATGGGTTATATTTTCAGCTTGTAGATTAAAATATCCCATTTGAACCTTTGCTAAATCTGTTTTTTCAATGGCACAATCTTTTGCCTCAGATAAAAATGAAAACCCACTTAAGATATATGTATTTAGCATTGTAAGGATTTAATGAAGTAGAGATACAGAGGGTACATGTATATGTAATATGATAATTTTAACACAGGTTTACCAGCAGAAGAAGATCATGTATCGGATGACGAGCAGTTAATTATAGAATACTCGGAGGATGACTTACATCCTATAGTATAGGGGGATAGGATAATCTCAGCCATTGTGATATACAAGTATAATACATGTACACTGCTTGTTAATAACATTTTACTTCTCATCTTTTATACTATCATTTTTGACAAGTTGTGCATGGTCTTTTGGATATTCTTATCAATGGTATATTGAATTTCACTATTAACTGGTATATACATATGTGCTGTAAAATCAAAAAGATTGGTGAGGGATAAAAGTTCTCATACTTCGTGTATTGAAGATTTTTCGTGAAAAATGTTCATTAAGTATTATTTAAAGTTAACAGAGCTGAAAGTAAAAAAATGGCAAATATTTAACCTCACCATTTCCATTTTAGTCTGAAATGTTGTAATTATAAATTTAGGCTTTGTGAAAATATCTAATTTTAGTAATTGGTCTAAGGCCATAATAATGCTCTTTTTCAATGATATCTGCCTTGCAAAACAATAGATATTAATTCAGGTGTGATTTATTAATGCATGACAAAAAAATGAAATGAATAGCATTTTAAAACATGCAAATATTTGTATTTTATTTATAAAAAGACGATGCAATCTTGTCAGAAATGAAATACTAACACTGGAATGATACAGGCAATTTTCATATTCTAGTTATTCTATTTGTTTTGCTGTTATTTTTATCTTCTATGTTGGGCGGAGTCATTATTAACAACGATTTATTTCATTTAATGTTTATTTCACTTCATGTAATAACATATGATATGGCTTTTTTTCTACAACAGTGATGAGTGTTTCTGGTTCTATATTTTTTTTTAATTCAGTTCAAGATAACACTGTTTTAGCTTATTGTTTCATTACTAAAATTATTATCACAACAAATTGTGAATGTTTGTTAAATAGATTTGGGCGAAAATTATGAATAAATTTTTTGGTTAACATACTAATTTATAGATTGTTGATTATGGAAGTATAAATTTTGTGCTGAATAGGAGAAATGGTAGAAATTTTAAAAATCTGAAAATATTGTTCCTATATTTTTACAGAATTTAATCGTTGCCATCATTGATATGTTAAGTAAGAATTAAAAAGAAAAAAAAAATCATTGTTAAAGATAAGCCTTAAAGATAAAAAGAAAAATATGATGTATAAAACAAGTTAATGGGTAGATTTCATTTTGATATGTATATTTTGCATGCATTAGATGTTTCTTGATTTTTGTTTTATTGTCTATCACACACATGTAGTTGGCAGTTGGAATGCATCTTGTATTGTTTATGTTTATGTTGGGTTTATACCGTTAATATTTTATTTATTGATACCTGTATGATATGATAACCAGTTTCTATAAAGTCTCACAACTAAAGATGAATGAACAATTCTAAGTAAATAAAAAACATTAAAGAACAAATAAAGTAAATTTTAATTTATTAGTTTAATGCTCTTTTTTCACCTAAGATGAATATTTGTAGATACAAAATTAAACGTTGACATGTTCACCTTGATTTTGACCCATTGACCTACTTTTTGTAAACGGATGTAGAGCTATGAAAGTTAGAATTGAAGCTCAGTTTCAGATGCAGACGTAAATGTTGACCTAGATTTTAACCCAGTGTCCTATATTTTTGTATTTAAAGCTACAACTATGAATTTTTGACTAAATGCCAAAAATTATGCACATTGAAATTTTGTAGATGCTAAATTGAACAATGATACCTTTATTTTGATCATTTGACCTGCTTTCTTGCATGTAAAGCTATAAGATATGGACTATATTTACAGATTTTGATGTGAAAATGAACTTTGCATTTTGCAGGCTAAATGGGCCTTTAACATATTTCTAACCTGTTACTAACAATGAATGAGCTATTTCTGCTTATTCTGACACATCATAGAATAGTAATGTTGTCTTAGATTAAATAACTACATGTATGATTGCACAATTGATAGTTCTTTACTGTATTAAAATAAAAATAATTTTTAAATTTTATTTAATCTTCATTAATCTACAGATGTGTTATTTAAAGGTCAATCAAAAAGCAAACTCTTAGTAATCCTGATAAAAATATTACATTAAAATTACATTAGATTAAAATATATGTATTGTTACTCTAGTTTCTTATTTAGTAATTTGAGATATCTCACATGAAATAATGGCCTTTAATATTTGTCATATGATGGATTTATGGCTATGTGTGATGTATTAAGTTAAGAGTACATAACACATTATGTTATAATTGTTAGTTTTAAACATAATTTTTGTATTTTATTTCAGAGGTTGCCATGGAAACAGGAGAAACAAATGCAGGCTATGATGAGGTCGTGGACAAAGAAGTGGAAATACCAGCAAAAGGCCTATAAAAATCATAAAAAAAATTGTAATGATCTGGAAAGTTTGCACGAAATGACCTTGAAGACAACTGCAGAAGGTGGATGTGTGAAGATGGATTGTCTAATGAACAGATTTATCCACAATAATCTCCTTGACAATTCCGAACAAGAAAATTGTATTTGGCAACCCTTTCTTATTTGAAAACTTTTGTTTATTGATTTTTACATATAATTTTAATGTCCATATATATAAAATGGGAATATAATTCATGTTTTGTATGTGTGCAGACAACCTAACACTTGGCCATTTCATCTTCATCTTATACTTCTTGACTTTGAGATATTGAAATATGAACTTGAACACAAATTGACCTTGACCTTAAAAGGTCAAATATTGAAAGTCCAGAAAATAATTTTTTCACCGATTTTAGAAAGGGGTATTTGTGTTTCTGGCAGAAATTTTTGTTGGCATGATTGTAGTATTTTTAACTTGTGTAAAAAAAAAATGAAATACATTAGAACCACCCTAAATGGCAACATGTTAATCTGTTGAGTGTATAGTGGTTTGAGAACCACAATTCATAGCATAAAGTTTGCTCAATGTGTTCTTGTTAATATTAAAGAGAGTTTGAACTGTATGTTGTTTGAAAGTTTTATAGCATGTATATTTTTGCATTTCCACTGGAAGCGAAACAGTATTGTTTATTTCCTGTTTATCTTGGGGAATATAAATGATAAAGAGACTATTGCAACATTAGAATATTACATTTTATCACATAAACCGCGGTGCAGGAGTGTAATAAAGCCATTTAATAAAAACGATATTACACTAGTGTAATAACACTTTGACGTGATGTCATTTGCGCTATATAGAAACATAGCGTTAAAGCGCGCTAATGTTAGCGTTACACTACAAACGCGTCATTGAATAATTACTCATTTTAACAGTTTACTGTTCTTATTTTATGTATGTGATAAAAAGAATATTATATTCGTGTAGATTCAATACTAAATTTATTGAACGAGTTGAATAAAACAATATTATGCTCGCCAGAGGCTCGCATAATATGATTTTATTTAACTCGTTCAATAAATTTAGTATTAAACTACACTCATTCAATATCCTCTATTTCTGAGGTTTTCTATTGTCATAATTCTGAATGAACCTGAGAAATTTAGTTTATACATAATTTATTTTAGTTTGATTATGTTGGAAGCTATTATGTTATAGAAACACTCCAAGCAGTTCCAACCATTATTGAATTAGTGAACAATGAGCTTAAAGGGCTTTTGCTGAAGGAAGCAATGGCTTGCCCACGACTGGTTTAAACTTGTGTAACAACAGTGTAGCTGGTTATTGTAAGACTACCAGTCCGACATGTTAACCACTCAGCCATGCCCCCACTTGTGAAATTAAGATGTTGAGGGTAGGGATGGGAGTGGCCAAAAAAGGAGGGGAGGCAAGTTTAAGGTTGTTGTCAAGTCTCTGTATGAACAATTGAAGTCATGATTTAAGTGGTTATTTGTTACACATGTACAAGTTTATACCTGACATATACTATAGTGAAATGTTGGTAAATAATTTTCAGAGCTAAGAGCTTAGTATATATATGAATTGTAAACATAGATTGCTGTTATTCATTATGTTCAAATATTATTATATAACCTTTTGTTCTTAATGAGACTTGATTTAAAGTGCTTTTATTTATTTATATGAATCATCACGTGAATGTAGCTCTGAGTTATGTTTTTTTGTCATGTATCTATAATAATTGCAAATTGTCAACAAGATTTATCAAGCCTACATGATTTGTTATTTCTATGTTGATGATTTTTATGCAATACACAACACATCATATGTGTTGAAAAAGTAAACGTTGAGAGAATTGAAAATTTGATTTTGCTTATGTAAAAACTCTTCAAGTTCTGTGTTCTAAAATGAATGTTTAACATCTTTGTGTTTGCCATGTTTTGTTCATCTCTATCTGTTATTTCTTGTAATTAATGACATTTTTTTGTAGATACCATTTGGCTTGATTTTTTAGAAAAATATTTATTGTGTTAATTTTTGAGTGATTGAATCAACGAATGTATTTAGAAAAGCTAAAACCCATTTTTATTTATCACATACTGTATATTTTATTAAAAAAACATCATTATTAACATTGTGTATTTTCTTATAATTTCGAAAAAAAATCATTATACATTTAACCTTCGAACCAAACTTAAAATCATTGTAACAATTTTTATATGCTGGCAATATCTTTACAGATATACTATGTTCAAATTTGAAAAAAAAAATATATTTGAAAATATTGTTAATTGCTACACAGTCTCTTTATATGTATAAAATAAACATGTTTTGACTTCACATAAAGTAGATATGTTATGTTCTAAACTCTACACACTATAGGTGGACACAATATTAATAAATAGTGTCATTAAAAAGTTTTTTTTGTTTTTTTTTAAACAAATGACCAACAGTACTTGACCCATTATTGGGAATGCAGCTTCCCATACATAATTTGTACATTATTCTATTCAAATTTAACATTTTCAGTAAGAATTTTATAGATTTTAATAAGTTTTTGTGATTAATATGAGCAAAGTACATTTTGTATATCTTTAATTTAATGTTATACTATAAGAGGGACTTGTGTTTAATGCATTGATTAAGTTCCTAAAATAAATTTATTAATTAGTCTCATGTAGTTGCATACTGTTACATATTCCACATGTAATTAAATTGTGTTTTTTTAACTAAGTTCATTCAATACAAAGTATATAATTGTGAACTGTATGAATTGATTTTCATGTTTATATTATGAATTGCTTGTTTTTATATGAATATTGTTAAAATGCGATTTTGAATCACTGGTTACTGTCTTAATACATAAATAAGAAAGTATTATTTCTTTTTTTCACACAACTCAAATAATTCAACACAGACAGGAAAAAAATCTTACCTGTAGAACTTGAAAATGGAATTTGTACGGAGTCATATGTGAATAGTACATCACTCTTGATGAATAAAAGACTATTTTCTATACAAAAATGTGTTTAGTTATTTCACTTAATTACCAAATGTTATTTCCGTGAATAAACAGTTACGTAGACATTTGTAATAACCTAGACATTTATAATAACCGATTTGCAAATGCATTTATATTGAAACAATTCAGACTTGTCTACGTATTTATGGAATGTTGAAGTTTTGTTCTGTGAATAAATGACGTTGACCCAATCTATTCCAGGAAAAAATCTTATTGAAATTTTCCATACGTGATTGAGCATTTCTAAAACAACATACGTGACAGATATGTACAGTAACCCTATGAGATCCATATGGAGTTTGTGTCTAGCTGCCATATTTTTTTTTGAAACTGTCCGTTATCAATTTTGGGTATATAAAGATGAACAGTTCACACTGCACGGATATACTCTATAGTCACATTAAAGAGTCAACGTAGATGTCTTTTTATATCCGGTCGCAGATATAACCCATAAAGTTTGTTGATCTCGCCAACAGTCAACCAAACATACAGTCTCCACTTGTTGCTGGGACCGAGGATCGTAGGGGTGTTGGTAGTTTTATTTACTCTTTGAATGACGGCAGTAATTAAACCATTTTGACCAGAACACTTTTTATTCCCGCACCGTTCCTTGGTAGGCTGTCTAGCAGTTTACCAATACTAGTGCCTTCACTTCCTCAAGGAACTGATAACTTTTGTACATGCGTGAGAAGAGGTACATTTCGAAGAAAGGATTTAATGCTCAAACACAGTGACCTGCACATTCTTAGATTCGAACCAGGGTCGGCCGATTCGTGTGAATTGAAAGTTCTGTACGTTACATAGTATAGTACAGAACATATGTCTTAACATGGCGGGATTCACAAATGCGCGAGTCATTTGTGCATAACGGTCACGTGGTATTAGGCTGTATTTGGCGGTAAAATAGAGCGGGGTTTTCGTTCTAGGCTTGACTTCTTTCCTTTCAAGGCGTAAATTTTATTCAAATTCGAGAACAATTCATAGAGCAATTTTGATAAGTTGTTTTGTATTTAAATGATGACATGTATATTAATACATACAGTCTAGTTTAAGCTGTAATATTTTGTTTTATGATACATAATTGTAATTAAGAACGAGCATCATCGTATGTAAGAAAAGTAGCCCTTTAAACTAAAATTACATGCTAGGATCCTATATTCGGAGGAATGGACGATTCAAATCGCTCAGCTAGGCGTTCTTTATATCTGGCGGTGCTGGGGTACGTTGTGTGAAACTGAAACTGTTCTATTTAATTAAACGCCTATTTCTATATACATATTCAATGGCGTTGTACAAAATGATAATAAAAGTATGTACATATAGATAAAAAAAACAACACACATGCATGGCAAATGAACTACAAAAAAATATGTTAAAGATATCAGCCGTGTAAAATATAAAGTATTAAAAACTTTAAAAAAAAAAAAGAAAGAATAGTTATAAAAAATAACAATAAAAAATAATTTAAAAGAAAATAAAAATTAATGGTTATTTCAGTAAAATTTCAAACACATTTCCACATCTCTATCAGTTTACAGCCCAATCACAAACTTAAAACAATGCGTAAAAATCTCTAAAATAGTAGGTTTTGACATTTTTCTTGAACATGTCCAAAGTCGAAGACTGTCTTATATACAGAGGCAATTTATTCCAGAGAGTTGGACCAACGGTACTAAAACTTCTGTCGTTAAATGTTTTCCTTTTGTTAAAGGGGACAGCAAAACAATAATCCATATTATCAACAGATCTGAGATTTGGTCTTTTTATGACAGGCTTGTGTAACAGTTCTGTTAGATAAACCGGAGCATTGCCCATAAAACAGTTATACATTGTACATAGTATTTTAAAATTGATCCTAGCTTTAATTGGTAACCAATGCAGTTCCAACAAAGAGTCTTTGGAACTATCATATTTTCCGCGTTGCAAAACAAGTTTAGCGCACATATTCTGGATACGCTGTAATTTTTGTAACTCACTGTCTGAAATGCCAAACAATATAGCGTTGCAATAATCCAAATGTGAGATTACAAGCGACAATACTAGGATTTTTGTGGCGTCCTGAGTCAGATATTTGCGAATGCTCTTTATTCTCAAATAATTTAACATAGCAGTTCTACACTTGGTCTTAACATGTGTTGAGAATCTTAGGCCCTCGTCTAAGTAGGCACCTAAGTATCTTATGACACTGACATTTTGAATTTTATCGCCGGCGATATCAATTTCATTAATTGAACATTTACCAAGTTGGGCTTTACTACCAAACCTAATGAATTCTGTCTTAGTGGTGTTCATTTTGAGTTTATTGGCATTCATCCAGTCATTGATGATTACAGCACTGTCTTCAAGTTGCTTTATAGCGTTAAGTTCATTGGTCACTGAAGTTGGTCGAAAGCGTTGACTAGCAATGTGGTCATCAGCAAAGCCGTACACAGATATGGATGGTGGTATCACATCAAAAAGGGTTCCCGCATATGTGAGATAGAGCCACGGACCAAGACAGCTCCCCTGAGGTACACTGCATGAACTCCTGTCTTAATGCCAGCGTTGACAGATCGAAAGTTCTTCGTGTTACGGACACACGTTTTTTTTTTCCTCAAAAAAGAGGTTTTGGTTAGTGGACGGCTGCCATTCTGTATATGAATATCCATCAAATTCTGGGGTTTGTGTTGTAAATGTTGTAAAAATAACCGCAGAGTGAGATTTGGAGCATGTATTTTGTGAGTAGGCAAAGACCAGTCCAACGGTCTACCAATTGAGCTACGCTTGCATGGAACATTATTGACAGCTGTTATGGTGGATCATTTTCTTCCGTTACTGGTTGCGTAATACTAATGTATACATGTTCATACAAAAAAAAAAACGTTTTTCAAAATTAGATCCATTTCAGGATATACTTATTTCTTAAAAAATTAAAATGATAATAAAAATACTAGTACGTTATAAACATATTAACAAACTTGAAAAGTGAAAATCCACTCTCAGTTTGAACCATTCGATCGACAAAAAACAATGGTGAGTTCAGTATCTTTTACGCCCCTAGTCCCATGTTTCTATCACCGTTTAAGAAATTAACTGAATATACTAATCAGATATGTGGAAAACCTCACTTTCGACAACGACTGCTCTAATATTACAAAAAATACATGTATAAAAATAATCCACCGGAGTCCTTTATTTAGATAAGTTAAACCTGACATCCGCTGTAAAGAATCGTCGCAAGTTCAAGGTAATTTGATTTTAATATGCATGTATGCTATTTAATAAAGATACTTGCCCCGTGTTCGATCAGGATCATATTTAAAAACTAAAATATTGTTCATTGTTTATCATTGCGGATAAAACATTTGATATTAACTTGATAAAATTGGACTTGAAAAAGTATGTTTATGAAATTTGAGTATAAATTTATTGTTAATTTTACAAGAAACGGGCATTTTACAGTTGATCCAAATTTCGGTCTTGATCTCATTTTGATCCGATTATTTTTATATTTGTTTTGTTATATTTGTTGATTTTATTCCAAAATATGTTGGTTTCTTTGCAAATAAGCAATTATTTATATTTCGAATATGTACCATTTAATTCTAGCATAATACAATTAGTGTTATAAAACAATGAAAATAAAATCAGGATTTATTTTATCCTTACTCTGATCTTTTCTTTGGTCCATTTACAGGAACTATAAATGACATTATGCTCACGCACTATTAATAAGTTCGATTAACGACGTCAATAGTTTGAGATATCATATATCAATTTTATATGTGAGCCGCGTCACGACAAAATGAACATATATAGTGCGTTTGCGACCAGCATGGATCCAGACCAGCATGTGCATCCGCGCAGTCTGATCAGGATCCATGCTGTTCGCTATCAGTTTCTCTACTTGTAAAATGGTTGGTAAGCGAACAGCATGGATTCTGATCAGACTGCTGATTATTGGCGACGCCGGTGAACGGCGTCGTCTCTTATGGAATGCTTTTTATTTTGGACTATGGAAGGAGCTGTAATTATAAGCAGTTAATGTCATGTTGTGTTAATTAGTTTTATTTTGATTCGTAAAAATCCAGTTAACAAATATGTTGTTATATTTGTATTTAATAACTTTATGTAAAAAGCATGTGCATTGTGTGTTGGTTTTGTCGTGACGCGGCTCATATATCACTTTTATATATATTTAATACTACATCATTACATTTTAATAAAGTTATGACATATTATCACAATGATAATAACTATGCGTAATGCAAACACTTGGCAGACAGATCAGAAAAAATTATAGTCTTACCGCTTAGAATATTTATTTGGTGCGACACGCACGTTTTTGAACACAAGATCCATTTCTTTCAAATAAAAATGTCTATTTGTGAGCACTGACTCATGTTTACAGCACATAAGTTGCTCATTTAGAATTCACTTTCAAGTAAAATTATAAACATATTTGAGTGTGAGAAATGTTTGACATTATTATTACTGTTATTTATTATTATTTTTATTATTATTATTATTATTATTATTATTATTATTATTATTATTATTATTTAAAAAAAAGCATTTATGTATTGTGCACAGATTTTACTTGTACATTGTATTTATTTAGGACAGACTATAAGATATTAATTGAATTTAGAAAAAGAGAGAGAGAGAAAAAAAATAATTGTAGAAGATCATAAGGAAAGAAAAAGTAAATTCAATAACGTACTCTTCCCTTGAAATTGAAATTTTAACTTATTTTCTATAATTATATCTGGAAAGTTTTATATAAAAAGAAGGAGCAAAATGGAAAGAAACAATGAAGGGGATTGGCGAAGGACTCAAAACATTCCAACCTCTTTGATAGATATAAATGTAATAAAATTGTGGCATCCTGTTTTGTTTAATTATATGTTATGTCGCAATTTTCTTTTTAACTATGTAACTTTCGCAGGCCATTTTCACGTACGCCATTACTGCGTATGTATCACAATTATATTTATTAAATCAATAATAACCATTAAAAGGACTCCACATGTTCATTTTTTTTGTGGACATTACGAGGCTGGAAACATTTTTTTCGAGATTCATACAACATTGGATGTAGATCTGAAACAATAACGCACAGTGTGTGCAAAATTTTTTATTGGCTACGAATTACTTAAAAATTCGATTTTAAATTTAAACTTGAGAATATTTCTTTATTCTCTTTTGCACATCTTTCCGTTAAAATGTTTCCAATTTGACCTATATAAGAAATTCAAATTACCTTTGGACCTCGGTTAATGAGTTCTTTTAATACACTGATTTATGATTCTTACCTCTATTAAGCATGCAGTAGGTAACTTAAACAGGGAGTCTATAAAAGCTGTATAAGACGATTTTTTTTGTGAATGCGCCGGAAGTTGTGATAGACATGCATGGTCACTAGCTAGCTGACTATTCAGTTGATTCCAGACCAGCTCCGGACAGTATCCATTTATTACAAGGTAGCAAATCCCCCTAAAGATATTCATACCGGCAGTATTATATGATTGGCAATAATGACAAATCAACAGCAGACACTGCAGCAAACACTGTACTGGATACGCCACCTTTCATACGAAAGCAGGGGAGAGTATTGTTGAACATACATTTAGATAAAATTTGAATACAAGTTTTATATTTTTTGTCAAGAAGCTTCGCTCGTTATAGCAGGGAAAAAAACAACAATATTATAAAATTACTAAATATTTAATATTTTGTTTTCAAATATTATTATTATAAATAACATTAATACTGTTATACTTATTTTTATTGGTATCTCTATGTAAATTCTTTAATTCTTTTATGCCGAACAATATTAAGACTAGATTGCGCGTGTTCATGTGACAGTACTATTATATGCTAGCTGCATGCCTTTGCACGAGAAAAATATACTAAGCTTTTAAAAAAAAATGTAATTCAAGTAATGATTTACAAGTTATGCAGTATTAATAACTGATTTTGCCGTATATATATATCACCGTATTTCTACTGCATTACTTACGCATTCAGGCATATTTTGACCTCTTTTTTGGTAAATTACGTTGGTTGTTAGTAATGTTGGCAAATTTTCAAAATTTTATGAAAATTATCATTAATCTGGAGGCAAGCTTCTTTAATCAATTATTCTCGATAAGATGCATATGGAGCAAGATAAACAAAAAATAATACAAATGAACAGATAGATTATTAGATAGATTATTAGATAGACACGGCCGATTTCAGTTATTTTCCATGACCTCTCTGATCCAGTTAGCGTAGTGTGCGGTTTTTGCGTAAATTCCGGGATAAACACCAGTGCCACACCCTTTGCCGGCGGATACGATTCCGGCAACCTCAAATTCTCCGCCGGGACCTGTTGGACACAAAAGTGGAGATCCTGAATCACCCTGAAATATTTAGATGGAACGAAAATTATGATTTTTTCATTAATATAGCCATGATAAAATATTACAATGCTTTCAGAAATACTAGAATCAAGTTCCGCTGCATCTTATCCTATACGGTAGAAAATAGCCATTAGAATACTAGAAACAAGCCCTGCATTTTACACGGTAAATATAGCCATTAAACATATAAGGATAAAGCTCCACATCTTATACGGTAGAAAATAACCATTAGAATACTTGAATCAAGCTCTCCATCTTATACGGTAAATGCAGTCATTGAACATATTATGACAAAGCTCCTTATACGGTAGAACATAGTCATTAGAAATACTATGATCCAGCTTCACATCATATAGGTAAAACATTATTATTAGAAATACAAGGACAAAACTCCGTATCTTATACCGTCTAACATAGCCATTATAGAAAAACTAGCATCAAGCTCTGCATCTAATACGGTAGAACATAGCCAATATAGAAATATTCTACAGTTATATATGCCCCGCATCTTATACGGTATACAGAGCCATTTCAGAAATACTAGAATCAAGCTCCGTTTCTTATAGGTAGAATCTAGCATTGAGACATACTAGGATAAAGCTCCGCATGTTAGGGGTGGAATATAGCCATTAGAAATATTAGGTGAAAGTTCTGTATCTTATACGGTAAATGTAGCCATTAAATACTACGACAAATTTTCGCATATGTTGAATAATAGAGCCATTATACATACGATGACAAAGCTCCTCATATTAATCGACGTTATTTGGTTGCCATGAGCTCTGTCATTATCATTAGCGTACTTATTTTTGCAATTTGCATTCAATTAGCATACATTTTTCACATAATTTCTGTCAACATCTATTACATAAATGATTGCAAAATGTGTCCGGAAAAGAGACTTAGGTATTAGTTGATATTAAAGATAGGTAAAATGGACATCTACAATTTTACTTATTTGAAATATTTACGTTGCAAGCGTCCGGATTCCCGTTGTTATCATTTTGGTTTTGTGTCTGCATATATTCTGGAATTCCGGCACATAGCACTGTGTGGTCAATAACCAGGTGTATTTCACCATCACTGTACTCGAGCTTCTTGTATGCCTCATCGCACGTGTTATTGTTGATCACGTACAGCGTAGTTTTGAGAGGTATATACATACCCCAGCCGTAAGGATCTGGAAGAAAAAACACGATCTGTTTGACTCACATATACCTTACACAAAGATTCATTATAACAGCTATATAAGTTATTGACAATTCAGATAACAGCGTTGTTCCTAGCAATTTCAGTGAAAAAAAAGAACGTTTGACTTATAGCCATTCGGACAACATAACGTTATAAATATTGGAAAATTAATAAATATACATTGTATACTGTAATCAACAACGTTGCAATAAACTCCTTAAAATGTAAACGTGTATGACATCATGAGCTGGGATCATAAATGCAGTTTAAGGGTTTGTCAGTATTAAATCTGGCAAATAATATTTACGAATTACATGTAGTAATTAAGTTGAAGACGAATAAAAATATGACGAAGAGTCATTTTTTTAGGCAAGTCAGTTTTGCTCGGCCTCAAGTCTGGCATTTTATTTGAAAGATAGCCCTCTAAATATCAAATATAGCACTTGCTAATTGCCCTGCCTCCAACCTGACATTCAATGTGGAAGATTACACTCTAAATATTAGATGTAGACCCTTACCACTGTCCCAAGCCACCAATCTGATATTCAATGTGAAAGAAAACCTATAAACCTTACCACTAGCCAGCTGCTTCCAGCCTACAATCTGACATTCAATGTGAAGAAAACCTATAAACCTTACCACTAGCCAGCTGCTTCCAGCCTACAATCTGACATTCAATGTGAAGAAAACCTATAAACCTTACCACTAGCCAGCTGCTTCCAGCCTACAATCTGACATTCAATGTGAAGAAAACCTATAAACCTGACCACTAGCCAGCTGCTTCCAGCCTACAATCTGACATTCAATGTGAAGAAAACCTATAAACCTTACCACTAGCCAGCTGCTTCCAGCCTACAATCTGACATTCAATGTGAAGAAAACCTATAAACCTGACCACTAGCCAGCTGCTTCCAGCCTACAATCTGACATTCAATGTGAAGAAAACCTATAAACCTGACTACTGTCCCAAGCCACTAATCTGACGTTCAATGTCAAAGAAAATCCATTAATCTTACTACTGGCTAGTTGCCCCCAGCCTCCAATTTGACATTCAATGTGAAAGAAAACTTATAAATCTAACTACTAGCTAGCTGCCCACAGCCTCCAATTTGACATTCAATGTGAAAAAAAACCCTATAAATCTTACTACTAGCTAGCTGCGCCCAGCCTCCAATTTGACATTCAATATGAAAGAAAACCTATAAAAGCTGACCCAGCCTCCAATTTGACATTCAATGTGAAAGAAAACCTATAACTCTTACTACTAGCTAGCTGCGCCCAGCCTCCAATTTGACATTCAATGTGAAAGAAAACCTATAAATCTTACTACTAGCTAGCTGCCTCCAGCCTCCAATTTGACATTCAATGTGAAAGAAAAGCTGAAAATCTTACTACTAGCTAGCTGCGCCCAGCCTCCAGTTTGACATTCAATGTGAAAGAAAACCTATAAATCTTACTACTAGCTAGCTGCCTCCAGCCTCCAATTTGACATTCAATGTAAAAGAAAAGCTGTAAATCTTACTACTAGCTAGCTGCCCCCAGCCTCCAGTTTGACATTCTGTACCGTCTTTAATACTGCTAGTGTTAGATAAAGGGATAACTCCAACATACGGTGTTAATTTCGCTTCTTCCGTTAGCTTGATTAGCGCAATGTCGTTCTGTAAAATATCTAAAACGAGACGGAAGTATGCAGGTTTTTATTGACAGTAAATAAAAATGTAAACATCATAAATGTTGAGGTAAAGACAAAACAAAAAGATGCGTACCTGTACATTGTATGTGCACATTTTGTATAACAATGTTCAATAACAAAATAACCAAATTTGTTTTCATTTATTAAATCAAATTAATTATTTCATGAGAGAATATGTCACATTCATGAAACAAGTCTGTTTTTCTGATGAAGGACATCACCTCTAATATATACAATTTATATGGAAAATCGCGTGTGCCACTTTGCCACTTTAATTTAAAGGGACTCCACTGAAGTTTTTTTATATGATGGGACTGATTTTTTTTCAATATAAATGTACCATTTGATGTAGGTTAATTTAGACCTCTAATCTTTGTGCAAAATTTCAGAACATTCGCGCACTTCGTTTTTCAGAATAATTATTCACATTGTAAATAAATGACCCAACATGAAAAGTTATACGCTTTTCACTCAAATCGGACTAAGGAAGCATATAAATACGATTTTCAAGTATTACAAAGTATATTTCTTAACTATTATCTTATATTTCTGTCTAAAGTGCCCCAGCTCATTTATGTAAGAAATTCAAATGTTTAAACCTCAGTGGAGTCCTTTTAAAATAACATTGGTATAATGACCTTAAAGAAAACGTGCTTATAAAATGCGGAAGTTTCTTACTTGTCACGTGTGGTAGGAAGCCAGGGTGTAGGAAGAAGCTCTCTGGTTTGATTATTTGCTCCCCGAGATCCTTCAAATACTGATTGTGTTCCCCAAGAACAACGTTCCAGTTGTCTTCCACGGCCAATTCCTCGAATAATCTGTCAGTAAAATGTGGTTAAACTTAAACAATCGGGTAATATACGTACAAACACTGTAGAATTTATTAAATCATCAAAGAAAGTGCAAATATTGCATAAAATGTAGACCCTATGCCTTAAAAACCCTATATATACTTGTATCTGTGAACTATTTATACTCGCACTACAAAAGTTTAGAAGCTTCACAATCGAGTAGACTGTAACTTCAATTTTATTCTTTACATAGAAACCTGAACATTCAACTCCGAATTCATATTATTTTACATTAGACATTGAAATATTTTGGTGTTGTTGATCAAGTAGACTTCACAAAATAGTGATATAACACAAACACATATATACTCTACAAAACGTAAACTTATTCTCCCAAAGTCCCTAACATCGAAACTGGCTATACATGGTAATGGGCATATATATATATATATATATATATATATATATATATATATATATATATATATATATATATATATATATATATATATATATAATATAGTAATCAACTGATATAACTACATATCCCCTTCTTTTAAAATAAAATTGTGCATTAATATATCATCATTATATAAATACTAAATTATTCATGACTTAATTTCATTTTTAACAATCTCTTATTTTCTGCAAAATGTTAGAGCAGAATATCATTTATGCATCAATTTTAATTATTTTGTAAACCATTGTTTCGCACAGTATTACTAATCGGCGATAAGTATGGGTAAGAGTTTGTATTAAGACGACCGTAGGGAGTCTTATCAAACTCTTACCCATATAACTGCAAATCGGCTCTTGCAACCTTATATCTACGGAAGCCCATAGGTATCATTTTGTCTTAGGACTTTTGTCTTTGGACTTTTGTCTTATGACTAATGACTTATGTATTATGACTTTTGTCTTATGTATTATGACTTGACAAAAAAAGCGGCAAAAGGGCAAGTTTCATCACATGTACCCTTCATGGACGTTGGAGGTAAATCTGATAGTGAAACAGAAGACGATTTGGTAGGTATCACAGTACTGTATTTCTCCTAACTAGAATAATTATCACCCATTCAAGGTAAGGTTTCGAATATGGGTCATCTCAGATGAAAAAGTATGTCACAGGACACAACAATCGTGTTAACTGTTAAAGTTTAAGTATCAAGATATTTGCAAGATTGACACGTTTTAAAACATGTGTGAAACTTTATTCTGTATAAAATATAAATTATTTCTCTTTCAGGTAAATGCGAGTAGTAAAGAAGGCGAGTAGAAAACGTATTCATGCATAGCAGTTCACTTAGAAGAAAAAGACCCAGAAAACCTTGAAAAAGATTAACTTATGGAAATCCATTGATGGTAAACATATTGGACATCCATCTTTTACCTGTGACTCTCTTTACAACGGAAAATACAAGAGATCGATTTATGATTTATCTGACTCCTACAAAGCCAAATGTGCCGAATGATGATATTTTATCTAATTTAATTCTTGATAGTTAAACAGTATAATTATGTGAATATATGAAATACTGATACTGAGGAAACAAGAACCATATTTTTTTATTCCAAATATAAAATTGTCAATTTCATATCACATAAGACATAATACAAAAGTCATTATACATAAGACATAATACAAAAGTCATTATACATAAGACATAATACAAAATTCATTCTACATAAGACATAATACAAAATTCATTCTACATAAGACATAATACAAAATTCATAATACATAAGTCGTAATACACGAGACATGATAAAAAAAGAAAATAAAACCTGACAATTTAAACATCAAATTTCTAGATAAATATGTATGCCTTGGTTTATTTTTATTAAATTATATCTAATATCCTTTTTTACAGAAACAGCTGGGTCCTGGGAGGCATTTCACATATAAATTACAGTTTGGACGACTTCATGAAATTCGCAGGGAATTTTGACAAGTGACAGCACGGACAGAGAGAAAGAGATGCAAGAATTAATTTGTAATGCCAAATGAAGATATATCAAATCAAATCTTCAAAGATAATTTAAATCTATAGGTGTGTTTCATCGCAGTACTATTTATATTTTAAAAAAAGACCCAAAAAACAAGAGATTGAAGGTTGAGTGCCTCAAAATCAACATCTCATAATAGCTTTCCTGAGCTTTAAAAAGTGTATGTTTAAATTGTCAGGTTTTATTTTTATTTTTTTTGTATCATGTCTTATGTATTACGACTTTTGTATTATGTCTTATGTATAATGGCTTTTGTATGATGTCCTTTGATAATGACTTTTGTAATATGTTACTTAATTTGGGAAGTAAAACAATGAGTTTTCAACAATACCAAGGATTTTAATGCAATTCATTCCTGTCATATGAAACAAAATAACTTTTTCTAGAAAATATAAACAGTCAGCAATTAATAATTGACATTTTTCTTAGAGTTAAAAGGATATCAAAAAGTTACTGTGTTATGGATCGCCATAGCTGCCTAATGTTATTACATTTCTTTTTATCTTGCCCAGAGAACGTCTTATTATGTCAAATATAAGGGTTGTAATGCCATTGTAATTTGTCGACTTGTCTTAACATTACCTTATTATACCTAACAGTAGTCTTGTCTCTTTAAAATGTGATGTTGACTTCTGTTAAAATTGTTTAATTATGTCAAACAGTAGTGCACATGTTAAAACTGTCGTTTTGGCTTGTCTGAAATGTGTCATATTATGTCAACTAGTTGCGCTATTTGGTCAAATTGTGGAGCTGTTTTTTTAAAGACTGTCTGATCATTTGAAACAGTACTGTTCTCTTGTCGAAATTTTGGTGTTCCCTCTTGTCAAAGCACAGCTTTTTTTTAAAATCAAAGGGAAATGTTTTTTTGTAAAAATCGGTGTTTAAAGGGCCAAAACATTGTTTATTGTGTCAAACAACTGTTTTAAATTTTTCCCAAACGTTTTACTACTAAATTTGGGCCCTTTTTATATAAAAATATTCCCAAATTTAAATCTTCCCCCGGAAATGTGGTGTTGCTAAAGCTAAATTCATGCCTTAATAAAAACTGAAATTGTATTTTTGTCAAAAAGTTTTTTGGACTGGTTAAAATTTCCATTTCTTAAAAAAGGTCAAAAACATTTGCGGTTCTTGTCAAAATTGTGGTAATAGTTTTGGTCTAAACTTTTTCCTTAAAAATGTAAAACAAAGGTTTATTTTTGCAAAATTTTTGATGTTTTCTTTTAAAAACAAAAGAAACATCATTTTATGTCTAATAATTGTGTAAATTTCTTCAAATTTAGTTTTGTCTTGAGAAAGAGCTGCCTGATTTTGCTTAACTGTCCCGTTATTTTTTTTGGTCTTTCATTTATCGCTCCGCGCGGGCTCTTGTCACGTGATACTAAATTTTGACAACATCGCATCTGGACAGGATAACACGATTATCTGACATAACGAGACGGCATTTAGACATACTAACTCCGTGGTCGAGGGGTTAGAGTCGATGACTTCTAATCCAGTTACCTCTCTGGCGTGGGTTCGATCCCCGAGAATGCTTTGGTAGTTTAGCGCGGAGGAAGGTTGTCAAGTACTGGTGTAACTCTTCAGGAACGATGATTAGGAAACTACCCGCCTATATGACTGAAATACTATTGGGAAAAGGCGTAGATTGAAACAAACAAACAAAACAAACAAAAAAGACATGCTAACGTCATAAATTGGCAAATCAACGCCACTGGATTACATAATGATACTGTGTTTCAACAAGTAAACACCACATTTGAAAACGAAAAAAGATACTTCGCTATAAAGGACGATGTTTAGTAATGAAAACACCGAACCTTGACAAAATAAAATGACACTTTGACAACAGATAGTAATTTAAGGCAAGTCATTACCACGTTTCGACAAGATGACATGACTATTTGACATAATAAGACGAAGATAGACAAGTTGATTCTGCATTTGGACATAATAGCATGACATTTTGACAAATTAAAATAGCGTTTTAACAGTTCATAACCATAATTTGTAAAGATACCACCGTTATTTCACATGATAAGACGGTGTTAAGGCCGGTTAACATAAAGTTTGGATAAAATAGCATGGCGATCTGAGAAAATATGGCAGTGTTTAGACATGTCAATATCATCTTTCGACGACAACTTTCGACAATACTGTTTGACATAATAAAATAACGTTTACACAAACAAACAAGATTAATTGGCAAGTCAACATTAGTATTTCACATAAAAAGTATATTTTTAGGCAGGATAACAACACTTTTAGACAAGACAGCATGATGTTTTGTCACAATTAGACAGAATAACACCACCTCATACAAAGAAACAAAACAGTTTGACAAAACAGGACAGCACTTTGCCAGGTCAATATAACGGTTGAACAAGATATCACTACTAGCCGACATAATAAGACATGAGTTTGACAAGTTGACACCAAGTTCCGACAAGATAACATTTCTGTTTCACATAATAAGACAATTTCTAGACAAATTACCACCACAGTTGGTCAAGACGGCATGCTTTTTTGACATAAAAGACATTCTTTTAGCAAGAAAACACCGAATTTGAACACAATGACATGGCAGTCTGCCAAATGTGAAGGTGTTTAGACAAGTCAATATCACATTTGGACAAGACAAAACGACAGTATAACATAATACAACAGTGTCATAACATACCAGGATCACATTTGGACAAGATGACACCAACTTCCGACAAAATAACACTACTGTTTCACATGATAAGACAATTTCAAGACAATTCAACACCACATGTCTTTGTTCAGACATAATGAAATCTTAATTCGAAAAGATGGCGTGCATGTTAGACATATTAAGACTTCCATTCGGTATGTTAACACCGGATTTGCACATGATAACATGACGTTTTGAAATAATAAGACAGTGTTTAGACAAGTCAGCACTACGTTTTGACAAGATAAAATGAATATTTGACCTAATAAGACTTCGTTAAGACATGTTCCCATAAAATGTTGGCAAGCCAACACTTCTGTTTACATAATAAGACACTTCTAGGGAAAAATAAAACGAAATGTAACAACTTAGGCAGCTGTGGCGTTCCATACTGTGTACTCATTTGTCTCTGCACGTGCATAATCTATGTAATAAATTGAATGCATTCTCACATTTCTACAGTGTTATCAGCCTTTTTAGAAATACCTGAACTGGCTTATTGAAATATGCAAATCACAATTTTCACTATCAGCACTGGTTTCTTCATGAAAAAAGCGGTGCACTAAATAATTACTGCCGAGTTAAGAGCCGATTTGCAGTTATGGTAAATTATTGTCTACATTTTTGTCTGGGGTACAGAGTGTGGGAACGGCTGCCTGACATTTAGGCTGTATATGGGATATTGCATTATTTTCTGCAATTAACTGTGATGAATGATTATTCTTATAAGATATCAATTAGACAGCTATTTATATCAAATGAATATTTAGTGTAACGTGCAAATTTTAACAAATTCAACATAAACACGTGAGGCGAGATATGTGTGTAACATTTTCTGACAAAATAAGTCACAGAAATTAAAACATGTACGATTTTATCATCTGAAGAATAGACAAATGTTTATATAACGATTTTAGGGAAAATTATAAATACGCTTATCGTGTAAACAAAATAGCGTTGTATAATATAAATTTGACGGTTAGAAAGTTGAATTTTTGTCTTTAATTGAAATTACTAAATCACTGTAACTTTACGAGTGAGAAGGAAAGAAAACAGTTCAAAAACATTGCCAATGAGTATCCTTTCCGAAACTAAACATATCTTCAAATCTAATGTAAGAAAAGTCTTCTGTGACTAAATAATGATTATTTAGGAGGGGTGATAGATACACCGAACATATCCCGGAATATTATATTCATCTTTTAACTAAGTCTCTTCTCAAAACATTCCTGGGTATAGCATTTTAGTAACTGTGTTTCAAGAATGGCATATAGACCTTTTTACAATACGATTTTCCATAACAACGAATGTTGCATTTCGCGCATGCGCATTCTGCGTAGGGCAAAAAGCAATAACGATGTCAGCAGTTTATCATACTTTAAGGTTTTAATAGATGCTATTTCATGTTATATCACCCAAAAAATATTAATTTTGGGAGGCGGTGAGTACTGAAAACGTGAATTTATTTTTTAACAGATCTGCGAAAACGTGCGGGAGTAATAATTCAATGGTCAAAACGGGCACACACATGTCTTTTTTTAAGGTAGACGACTTTTCACTGAAACAGCAGGTTGTTAAAGATAAAATTTTATTACCCCTGTGTTACATAATATTACACAATTTGTATTGTACACTTCCTCTGAATAACAGGATTGGTCTGGCGGCAAGTGTCAAACAGATTGGCACGCGAACGTTTGTTCATTCAACCGGGACGTTTAAATATCATGATATAGTTAATCATTTACAGTACGCTTATTAAAATGGTAATTCATGTAACTTTTAAATATACCGATCACTGTTTATGGATTTTGAGAAGACAAAAACTGTGTGACGTGCATTATTAAAAATAACATGTATTACGAAGAAGCGGATAAAATGTGTGTTATATCTTTTCCAAACAACCCATCTTAACTTCTCAAGATTTTGAAATTTTTTTTATTTAAAAGCTATTTATTTGACTTATATTTTTCTGTTTGCATCACAGACAAAGCGGATAAAGGGTATAATCAGGTATATTGAACACTAAAAATGCATTATCACCTGTTCTGATATTTTTTCTGAATGATAATTAATCTCAATTTCATGTTATATAATTTCTTTTGTTTTTAAATGAACTATTTCAACAGCAAACAAGTTGACTTTTCATTTGCTTATAGATATGTTTCAACATCTTCTTTAAAAAATTGATTTCAGTGTCAGGTCCGTGAACAAGTATCTTTTCCATGCCTTTTTATGACATTCTTCGCCACAAAGCTATAAAGTCATCTTTTCTTTATTTGTTGAAAGATATTTGATATAATTTTCTACCGTTTACCTTGAACAAACTCAGAATTGTCTATGAACTTCTACTATATTTCTTTGTAGGGCGAAGTATTTTTTACCCTACGCAGATTGCACATGCGAGAGAAAATTTTAATTCCGGTCGATTTTACATAGCAACGGACCGCGTTGTAAAAAGGTCTATAACTAGTAAATTTGTATAATGACGAAACGTAAAAAGAACTTTACCCGACACAATGTCCAGCTGTCAGTATCCATTTGGGATGAATCAGGGCTCCTCCACAAAGATGTTTCATGTGGGTTTTACGTGTAAATTGAATCGGCTTCAGATAATGTAATGAGGCCAAGAAGGGCCATTCTCCCCTCTTCATCGTCTGACCACCAACTATTCGCCTTTCGCGGACCATATCATTTGGGTATGCTACAGCAACGTGCAATAGAATGCACAAAGCTGAAATAAATACAAGTACAATCATCACCAAAGTTGTTGTCAGAAAACTTGTAGGTATATTTATTCCTTGGAAAGCTTTTTGTATTCGGGCTTGTTGACAACTTTTTTTTATTTTTATCCTTTTAGTTTATCTAGGGTTTTGGTATTCAATGTAGGGGGGGGGGGGGGGGGTAAAACGAGTGATAATTAAGTAAAGTTGAAAAGTATTATATAAGTTATTTAATTATAAGATGCCAAGGAAAAACGAAGACTTTTCATCCTTTCTATTGTTGGATCTTTATCTTATTACAATGTAATTTTAATTGTATAATGGAATTTTACTTACTGAATTGAAATTTGAAATTTGTATTTTTTTAAATTTTGTGTAAGAATATAATGATACTATTCTCAAAGAGGATAACGTAGGCATAAAAATATAAAAATGTAATATGTAAAAAATATAATATTATAAAAATGGCTTGTAGTTTGAAAATATGGCTTCACTAATGCTATTTATAAAGTCATTCAACTTTTCAACTTTTTTCCCTTCATTGTGCGCGTGTGTGTGTGTGTGTGTGGGGGGGGGGGGGTGTTGCTTTTGTTTTATAAGGTACCTGGATATCCCAATATGTATTGAAATGAATCTATCTTAAGTGGTTGAAGTATAAGAACATTTACTATAATATTCATTGAAAAAACATGAAAGAAAAGAAGTAAAGAAAGAAACAAGAAAGGAAACAACAACAACAGAACAACTTATTTATGATACTTTAAAATGTTCTGTTGTTTTGGGGCGGTTTTATTTTTATAAAGAAAGAACAAGACAAGTTAAATGTTCTTTAAAATGCGAAAACCTTTAAGGAACGTTGTCAGATATTTATTTCTTTATTTATTTTTGTTCATGTACAAAAAATCTCATTTAACAGGAGATGCACTTTTTTAGATTTTCCTTTGCAAAATATTGCTATGAGAAGAACAACTTATATGATTAAAACACGTTTATTCTACGGAATTTCTAAAGACACGACAATAACATAAACGTTCATCATTTTGAATCAAAGATGTTATGATCAAAGTAACTGTTAATATGTATTGTATATTTATTAAAGTACATGACGTTTATTTTAATTGAAAATAAAACAACAAAAAAAATCAAAACAAACAGATAGATAAAACATGTTCATTTTGTTGATTTGTTGAGTTTGTTTTTCGGATTGCTACAATATTAAGTCGATTGTCTGAGTTTTAAAATGCACCTGAATTTTATAAAAGGGCTTGGGAATTCTTCCAAAGTCTATAAAAAGTCTATTTAATCTAATTAGGGTTATATCATATTTTAGATTGTATGTAAAAAAGGCTAACAAAAGAGAACAAAACCGAGTGCATATTTCTCTTAAATTAATTTATATATTCATACATATAATAATAATAAATAGAAAGTTTAGAAATAAATTGTTTAAAAAACTCACCATAGAAAATGTTCATAACCATCTATCTAAGTCAGGCACTTTTTACAGAAAAAAGACAATAAAGAAACACACTTCCGTGTTTAAGAATTATGATGTATCTTGTTGGTGCACGGAGGCAAAAAGAACTAATTCAGAATTAGCTCGGTGATTTAATACTTAACTATTTCATAATTACTACTAATAAGCCTATTTTCTGCTATTGTAGCAGGTTTAATTAACGAACAGAACAGAACAGAACAGAACATTTATATTATTAGATTTGTACCATAAGTACATCATCGTAACATATTTACAAACTTAATACATTTACATGTAATATAATACAGTCACATGATAAACCAGTGTTTATAAGTATCGAATCGCAATAACACATACATTACATTAACACATTTACATTTAATAAAGTTACAATTACATAATATAATCATGATATTTTAAGCATACAGTTTCATCGGTTTTTTTCTAAGAGGATGGACTTAAATATGTGTAGCAGATGCTCTTAAAGTCATAGCACGTTTACTATAAATAGCAAAATTTTTAATAATTGTTCTTTTATCATTTTTAATAGTTCTACAAATTTAAACATGATTGGTTTGACTTTATAATATTTTTTTTATATATAGTTTCCTTAAATCAATATAACATGGCCAAATCAAAATGAAATGATACTCGTCCTCAATGTCGTGCTTATCACAGTATATACAATAACGTTGATTTCTATCGATTCTTTGTGTACTGTATCGACCTGTTTGAATTTTCAAAGAATGTGAAGATAACCTTAATTTTGTTAAATAACATCTTAAGTTGCGAGGCAAAATATCTATGTATTTTTCGTACTCAAATTTACTTATTACATGATTATAACTTTCTAAAACAGGAATGTTTTCCTTATTAACATGCCACCCTTGAACAAAACTATCAATAATCCGTTGTTTAAAACATAATATAAAAGTCTTTTCACAAACAGTCTCAGGCGAATCCCACACATATGCAAAAACCATCATCATATAATATTTTTTTCACATTTGACTTTCCCAATAAACAATCATCATATGCAATTCTTTACGCATGCTGTAATATTATATTATCTGTTTTAGTCAGTTTAAACCAATATTTAATGATTTTTACATATCTCATAATATAAAGTGGATATCGTGCAAGTTCAACATATACAGCCGTTGAATATGTCGTCGTTTTGACCTTTAATCATTTTTTACAAAATATGAGATGAATTCTTTCAATTTCCTTAGATTTACTGAATCCCCATATTTCTGATGCATAATTTAAAATAGAACCACCAAATGAATCAGACAAATGACAAATATTTTTAGGCTTTAATCTATATTTGTGACAATTAATAAGTAACAAATTTAAGGCTTTCAAGGCTTTACCAACTAAATGCTCTTGATTTAGAACAAAACTACCTGTATAATTAAAAATTGTACCCAAATAGTTAAAATTATCCAAAATTTCAAGTCTTATACCATTGTAGAAAAATTTTTCATTACTTAATAAACCACCTGTAACATTTCGTTACATTGGACAGGGCAGCATTCTACAAATATGCATTGTACTCGTATATCATTATCTTGTAAAACGTCACATGAATAAACCATTTCTCGTGTTATTGAATGTGTGCATGTTATATTTAAGAAATAATATATCCCTAACAGTGATTTTATCGCTCAATAACATCACTGTTTGGAGTTCGGATGCGAGGAATTATATCACGAGGGCGTAGCCCGAGTGATATAATGATGCGCACCCGAACGACAAACCGTGATGTTATCAAGCGATAAAATCACTGATTTGGATATATTATTTCGATTCTAACACGACATCAACAAATAAATGTTGCCTTACTTGATAGTTAAGCAAAACTGCGCCTGATTTGTTTCCGTAATTATTTTCAGCGCGTCGGCTTTTTAGTGGTTACGTCACGTGTATAATGATTAACGTCATATGTCTAAATATAGAACGTCAAACTGTGCATCTGTTGCATAATAACACACACTTTCTGTTCTTCTATGTTCAATAGGGAAAAATGCGGGTCGTGTTAGAATTAAATTTAAAAGAATTTTTATATTTCTATCCCGTTCGCGACGAAAATGATATTTTGACATGCTGTAGGTAAAAATATTTTGATTGTATGTGCTTAAGGACAGATTCTAACACGACCCGCATTTTTCCCTATTGAACATAGAAGAACAGAAAGTGTGTGTTATTTAAGAAATAATATATCCCAAACTGTGATTTTATTGCTCAATAACATCACTGTTTGGAGTTCGGATGCGGGAATTATATCACGAGGGCGTAGCCCGAGTGATATAATGATGCGCATCCGAACGACAAACAGTGATGTTATCACGCAATAAAATCATCGATTTTGGATATATTATTTCGATTCTAACACGACATCAACAAATAAATGCTGCCGCATATTATCATTAGCTTAATTGCGCCTGATCTTGTTTCCGTACTTTTTAAGCGCGTCACATTTTTAGCAGTTACGTCACGTGTATAATGATTACGTCACATGTCTAAATATAGAACGTCAAACAGTGATTTATAGCTAATAACACACACTTTCGGTTCTTCTATGTTTCAATAGGGAAAAATGGGCGGGTCGTGTTAGAATATGCAACACAGATGCACAGTTTGACGTTCTATATTTAGACATGTGACGTAATCATTAGGGAACACGTGACGTAACCACTTAAAAATCCGACGCGCGGAGGAAATAAGTAGCGGAAACAATCAGGCGCAAATTTGCTTATCTATCAAGTTACGGCAACCATTTATTTTTGGGTTTGGATTTCCCCCATGTTTAGAATCGAAATAAATATATCCAAATCGGTGTTTTATCCGCTTTTGATAAATCACTGTTTGTCGTTCGGATGCGCATCATTATATCACTCGGGCTACGCCCTCGTGATATAATTCCTCGCATCCAAACTCCAAACAGTGATGTTATTGAGCGATAAAATCACTGTTTGGGATATATTATTTCTTAATTAAAGTACAGTTTAAATTTCATATCAAGGTGCATTAACATGAAAGTTTGCTGCTTTTACATATTTCCCAAGTAGAATTAACATTAAAGATACATTCTATTTTATATACTTGTAGCAGGTGTATGCAATTATAAAGCTATATACATTGTACATGATATAAGTCAACAATTTATAAGTTGTTCTACAATATGTGACGGATCGGTGTGTATTTTAGGAACGTTCGTGTAGGGAGGAAAAAGACAATAAAAAAACACCAAAAAAAACCGAGAAAAACAAACACACAATAACAACGAAAGACAAATAAGATAGTTATTGAATGCCTTCCCGATAAAGACCTCGGAAGTCCAAGAACGTTGATTGGTAACCCAGTGTGCCAAATATATGTTTGAATATAAGACCAGAAAATGTAAGAATGTAAAATAAAATTCGTACCAAGTGTCTGTCGTGGTTATCATGAAAAAGATGGGTAAACGACACTCAATATTACCATGAAATCATGGAAATAAGATCATTAAATAAGATTATAAATAAGAATGTCAGGTCAGATTGGTTAGTGATGGCTTAAAACTAATCACCTTTTACATTAAACATGATTATCATTTATTATAACAAGCATGTTAATTACGATTGTCATAATTTAATGTTTGTATATACATGTACATCAACTTTGTATGACTTTTACATGTTTGATTACAAATACAAAAGGACTGTGATGGCGTTCCTCCAACGCATATCCTTGTAGCACAAATTGGTGCTTTGGGCATCAAATTACTATTTAGAATTGTCCGAAATTTCTGGTGCTACTAAATTGTGCACTAAATTCGAGGTAGGTGGTTTCATTTGCTAGTCGTTTCGACAATTTTCACCAAATATTTTTGAAAAGTAAAAATATTAATTTCAACCTAGTGTCTATTTCACCGCGTGTATTTTTATTTTTTAATAATTAATTGGGAATTCATTTGAAAATAAGCTTTTAGATTAAATGGGACAATCCCTAAAAGGGGTAACAAAAAAACATAGTACTTTAATTTTATAATTATTTTTGGTACATGTGTGTGTTTTTTGCATGCGTTTGCGTGCGTTGCGTGCGTGTGGGGTGGTGTGTTTTATGTCAAGTTGAAAAATATATCGACAAAATATCGTATGTGTTTTTTGTAAAATTTTCCTTTAATAAATCCCGGGTTTGATAAAAGGTGCAAAATCCCAATGACCTTTTTCCCGAAATCTTTTAAAATAAAAAGTTTTTTTTTTTATTCAAGGTTTTTTTTATATCAAAAATTTGTCAAAATGTAAAGTTATAAATGCAAAGGTTTAAAATTTTTAAAAACAGCAGCGGTTTTTGTCAATTTTTTTGGTGCTGCAGCTGACGCATAAAAAATTAAGGTGGGGCATCTTAGCTATGTACATCAAATTTTAATTTTTAAATTTTTACTGATATTCCAAGTAAATTTGGGGGCAAGAGGTTTAAAAACAGCATCAAATTTTTAATTAAATTTTTTTCCCCATGCCCACAGGTTAAAAAACATGGGACCCCCAGTTCGCGCCCTTTTTTTTAAGTTTTTTGCAATGGGTTTTTTCACTTTTATTTTTTTGTTTGTTCGTTTGTTTTTTTCCATTTTTTCCCAACACATTTCAAGGGCATTTTGTCGCGTTTGTTTCCTAAAAAATGTCCCGGGGGAGTTTCCCCCCAAATCTAGACTCTTTCCCCCGAAAAAAAGTTTAATTAAAATATTTTAAATTCGGGTGTGGGTTGGGAAACTTTAAAATTATTGACCCCCTCCCGAAACCGTTCCCGGAAACAACCAGTTTCTAAAAGGGAAAGTTCAAAAGGGGAAAAAAACCGGGTTGCCCTGCAAACCCGCAATCCCTTTCATTTGTAACGATATTTCTTAAGTCCCCACATTTTACATATTTATCAAAAGTGCATTTAAATTTTAAAATACCGATATCGTAAATTTTTGTAGAAAAATTACAAATTTTTAAGCTGGGGGGAAAAAATTTCGGTTTTTAAAAAAAACTCTCTCAAAAACGTTTTTTACCAAAAATTAGTAAACAATGAGTTTCAAGTTTTTTTGCTCGGAAACAAGATTTCCCCCGACTGGGTTTAACTT